TCTCGTAGAGTGGGGGAGAAATGGCGCGATTGCGAGGAGAATGGGTCGGGTAAAGAGGGAAGAGGGTAGAATGGGGGGGGGGGAGGGCGTCCAAGAGCTCTACTCAGTGGCGGTCGGGATAGGCGTCGCCTGTTTTATTCATTTGGTGCTAATGCCGTCTGAGATTTGCCGCGCTTGTATGGATAGTAGCTGTGTGCCCCCTTCCCCGGCACCGCCCTCGTCGAAGGGAATAACCCAAAGGGTAAACGGGAGGTGGGGGGTCACAGGCTAAGGTAGCACTCAACGACATAAAGGGTGCGTCCTGGGCCCGGATCATCAAAGCTTTCCGATTTCAAAACTTTTGACTTCGTCAGGGGTGTGGAGAAAAAGTTTGCTAGTTTGTCTCCTGAGCCGGCTCTTGCACCTGCTGAGGACGCATAAGTGAGGGGGCCTCAGGGGAAGCTGAGCCTCGGCTGAGCCACCTCCCCGCTCTCCCAGCTCCGCCTCCTTCGGACGAGTCGGGTATCGGTAACTTCATTGCAACCCATTCATTGGACCAAATGGGATGTGAGACAAGAATTAACGGAATAATGGTATATCCTTGCGCGCCGCCGCCGTGGCCTTCGGACTTGGTCGTGACCGTTCGCAAACACTTCATCATATCAGCTGCGCCAGATCCGGAATACGGCCCCGGAGGGCCACGCTCCTTCCAGGCCCCGCCCGGCCCCGCGGCTGTGTCTCGTACTGACTGCTTTGTGGGGTTTGGCCCACCCGCGGGACCGGCATTGGAGGGTTATAAAGTTGCCATACATCGCGGGTATAGCCATGGGGGGAAAAAATGCGCTTTCTTTCAGCTGATGTGTTGCGGCCTAATCGAGTTATCGATGAATCCGCAATGTTATACGCTTGTGACTGCGAATATGTGTCTGATCCCCCCCCCCCTCCTCTTCTTCCTCCTCGTCCTCCTCCTTTTCCTCCTCCTCCCCCACATCTCTCTCCCTCCGCCACCACTTTATCTTCATCTCTCTCTCCGTTTCCTCTTCCTCCCTCCCTTTCCGAGACTATTGGATTTTGTAGGTATTGCAACGCGCCGAATTCATATTGCTGCACAGTACATGGCGCATACGTTTTGATGTTGACCAGTGCGAGCAAAACCAACGATAAAGATGAAAAGAGGCGATGGAGGGCGATATAAATTTAAAACAAACCCAGCCAGTAATTTAATTTGCACCTTGCGAGTTTCGCCAACCACATAAAGTCACGCGCGCTGGACATATGGGTGGTCTAGACCACTCTGGTAATTGATTTATTCGAGAGCGAGCCGAATCCAGCGTCTGCTCGAACAAGCTCCCGTGTGGCGTAGCGGTACAGTCTGACTAATGGTGAGAATGGGCAGTTGGCGGACAAAATCTGAGCTGGAGGTGAGAGCTACTGCTTCAGTTCAACGAGTTGTAACTTCAACCACAACGAATGTTCCCTGGACGGGAAATGTAGCACTCTGGCCGAGTGTTTTAATTTCCAATAGAAGAGTGGAAAATCTCCTCAAGGGCTGCTCGCGAGCGAGGCAATATTGTGGATCAGTGGAGCAACTTCAACCAACTTTGTTCCCGCCCACTAACTTGCGCGTTGATCCTGGGCGGGAAAAAGATGGGCAGAAAAAAATGACCTCTTAAAGCTTGCTTGGAGCCAAGTCTATGAAAAGTTGGACGGCGAGTAGGCCTACATACAAAATGTTACGGTGGAAATTGCGAGTTTTCCCCTATCACTCATCGCAGTGTGCGTGTTCTTAACGGCTCATTTTCTCTCGTCCTATAAGGAACGCAAAGTTTTAAAAGGAACTCGGAAGTATGTGAACCGCCCGGCCTCTGCTGGATCCTCATCTTTGTGCCCTGCATTTCAAATTAAATTATTAACGAAGTCTACCGCATGTAATAAAAACACAGCGCCAGTTAACAAAAGGAGAGAACAAAATCTTGAGCGACGTTGGATGTGACAAAAACAGGTAGCGGGCGGACGGTGCGTGCAGGAGGGTATATGTGGCTTTCCGGGCCATTGAACACCCCTGGGATGGCAAGAGGTTTTGGCCCTGGCCCGAGCTCCTGCCAGCAGGACCGCAGCGGACCCACCCCCTACCCCTAGCCGCGTCGTACCCTCCCGAAAACTACCTGCCCAGGGCTGTCAGCGGTATTCGGGGCGTGGCGGAGGAGTGTGGGCGGAGGGCCGGCTGGGGCCGACCGCACCAACCCCCACCAACACCCCGCACCCGCACCCCTTGCTCAGATTCACTTTCGTGGATCCGAATCACCGTCGCCACCACCGTCCCCGCCTCTCCCTGGGGACCGCTGCTGCGCCCTCCGCCTGCCACGGTGGCAGACCTGCGCAACATTGGCGGCCAGGGCCGGCTGGTGGTGGGGTAGGGTAGGGGGAGTCTCGCCACCGACTGAATGGCACTGCCTGCCTGTGTAAAGGCTGTGGGCGGGAGTGTTTGGGGCCTTGTGTGTCCAGTGAGGGCGTCTGATTGCTCGGGGCCTGGGCACTAGCCGCCGAGCAGCAGCAGCAGCAGCACCTGCACTGAGTGGCCGGGGCCGCCGGGGGGACGGCGGACGGCAACGAGCCCTTTGTATTTGTGCAGACCGCGCCGTGCGGGGGCGTGGGGGTCGCCCGAGAGCAGGTGTGGAGGTCGGGACGCGGTCGCAGCGTAGGCAGAGCCGCACGACAGGCGCGGGCCGCGGGCGAGCCTGCCCACGCGGCGCCCCGGCGGAGGCCTGGCGGAGCCCTGGCCGAGCCCTCCCCGTGATTACGCATTCTTTTATGCTGCTCCCCGGCGGTGGCGCTGGCGCGCTGTTGTGGCGGGACGGGCCGTGTTTACCTGTAAGAGGCTTTGGCGCTCGCATTGTCCTGCGCGGCGGGCAGCGACCCCCACGCCCGCTCCCGCTGTCGGGAGGCTGGCCTTCTCCAGCGATGCCCGCGGCCGGGTTTGTTTTAGTGTGGGGGGCCGCCAGACACCAGGCTGCACAATGTGCTGCACAGCTCACAAGTTTGTTGAAGAGGCAAATTCTGTCACTTGATATTTTATTTTTTGCCGCTTGTCAAACTGGAAGAAACTGCAGTTTTGGCCTTCTTGCGCTGTGCTCTTTCCTCTTTCCTTCCCCTTATTCTCTGTTTTTTTTTTTTACATTCCCCCCTCCTAGAATGCCGCCCTTTCGCAGGAAGGGTTATTATTATTGGACGAATAAAATATGCGACCTTTTGTTGGCCGGGCCCAACCGGGTCGGCTCCCGGGGCGGCCGGGGGTGGCGCAGGGGCAGGGGATCGTCCTCACCCCACTCTATCCGCCCCACACGCTGCTCGGCTAAGTCCGGCGCCAACGCTACCGAAATTATTTCACCTGGCGAGAACGGGTCGTAACTCGGAGAGCTTTCTGGCGCAGCCCGTAGCGCGTTGCCGAGGCCTTTGCTTCTATTTTTCAACCATCGCGCTCTCCCCACATGCGCCTATTTCACCCCCCTGCTTTCCCTGGTCCATTTTTTTTTGTTTATCCACGAACTGGAAAATTAAGGGTTTGTGCGGTACCCCTCCCTCTCGTCGCTAGTATTGCAAAGCACAGTCCCCAACCCGTGCCCCACGATTTTACAGAACTCTTTTTCTCAAAAAGGTTGACCCAGAACGTATACTATTATGTCGACCCTCGCAAAGGACGGGTGCCCCGTTTGGAGTGTGTTCGTGCGTAGTCAGTGCCCTGTCGCGAACAATGCCACATCCGATGCTTTGAGAAGGGGGAGTGCATGGTGGGGGGGGGGGGGGGGGGTTATGTGCGGTGATCAGAGTAGGAGGGCGAGGGTTGCGTACGAAATGGACGGCAATGTGGCGCACTGTAAGTCTGCCTGGGGACAAACACGTCAGCTGTTTACGGACGCATCCCTGATGAGATGGTGATCCGAGTTGGAAACAATACCTTGTGTGGTAGGCGGGGCTCGCAAGTCCCCCAGTGGTGTGGGTGCAGCTGGGCCCAGTCCACCCTGATAAGCGATCTGCCCTCTCTTCCCGCTCACTCCTTATACCCAAAACTGTGTATAGACCTAAAAAGGTTTATCATGTCAAAGTTGGCACGTTATTCCTCACAATTTTTAATGTTTTGAAAGCTTATTAGCTTATATTTAGTAGTCTCAGCGTGTGTCCACACAGCTCGTCTGGACAATGTATATTCGTCTGCTCTATTTATACAAATCTTAATTTTTTGTTTTTTCACTGAAAACTGCGTAATGACACTTGTCTATTGCTAGTAGATTACACCGCGCGTGTTTCAGTTTGTGTTAAATATTATCTAAGCGATCTCTCAAATTTATTTTTTTATAGCACTATAGGATTCCTCGTACGTGGTTGGTAGTGTTAAGACCCATAGTTTTCTTAAAACATGCAACTTAACGTCCTTTTCACCATACGTTATTTATTTATTTTCCACTGTGTCCTGTGGCCTTTTTCCCCTCTTTCCCGACCACGAAATGACTTCAACATTTCGCTGGTGTGAACCCTTTTCCCCGACGGGCTTCCCCGCTGGGTCTCTGCTATGCACGCCGCCCCCACGCACACAGCACGCCCCGTTACACTGGCAAGGTCACTGGGTTGTTCTTCGCAACTTTACTTTCGCTTCCTGCGCCCTTCTCTTCCTCGGCCGACACGACCCTCCGCAAGCAAATTCTACGCTCCCTTAAAAAATATTTCCGTCATAGAAATACGGTTTTAAGCTGTTCGTAAAACTATGTGACTTAATTTATAGAATTAAAATTCAAACATATTTTTCACGGTATAGTTTGTGAGCTAAGACAAGGGGGCAGAAGGGGGCGCGTTGAATTTTGAGAGTTCTCTTGTCAACAATGGAGAAAAGGTTTACCTTCAGTCAATTCCAGTTGCAGGGATCTGCTGGTATTTCTGTACGATTTCTAAATACTCTTTGCGCTGAAATAATAGGATAGCGTCGCAGCTGCTTGCTCTAGAGCACTCGTTGGTTTTGTCTTCTCCAGTATGCGCCTACTATCTCTATGTGGCCCTTTGCTGTTCGACTGCGCCCGCGGTACGGAGACCTCATCAACGTGCGCAAATACTCGAGCATTGAAGGCTGCAGGTCTTCCTGTCGGTACGTAATGGAAACAGTATTGCTTTTATCTTTATCGACCTTCCTCATATTACGTTCGACGTTACATTATTCTCGAATGTGTTCTGCATGTACCTTTGTCATCATAGTGGAGATTGGCAAAACGTTAAAGTAAAAAAAATACTAGTCTTTAGCTAATTTTTTTCGGACTTGTGCCGAAGCCAACTTATTTCCTTTGTGTACGGGATCGAGAAATCGGCCATTTCTCTTCATTGGGAGTTGAAAAAAAAAACAAGAACCTCGGGCACTGCCGAAGGGAATTTCCTTCCAGCGTCATGTTCTTTGTCTGGCCCTGATCCAGGGGGAGGGGTCGTCTCAATGGTGCACCCTCTCCTCTAGCGGCCCAAGAGGCCTATGGCGGCCCTCGCTGTACAAATCAGCTGTTCTGCTTCGCTCCCGTCAAAGAACACTGAAAATTAATTTTCCTGCCTGTTCTGGATTGCAAGTCGGGGCCTCGACTCTTCCACCTCTTGTTCCCCTTTCCCGCAGACACGACACCCAGCGCCCGGGCGCCTCTTTGAGACAGCAGCGCCGGTGCTCCCGTTATTGAGGGCTATATTCAATGATTCAAAGAAGGCGCCTACCGTCGTCACCAGCACTTCGCCGCTGGGAGCGTCGACCCCGACACTCCCCGTGGTTCAAAGTTCTGGTAAGCCCCTTATCCTACTCACTCCCTTAAACTCTCTTGCACTTCCCTCTTCCCCTCGGCCCCCGGGTCCTCCCCTAACGTCTTTAGAGACGCTATGATTTCCATGGTCTCGTTCCGCTCCTTGCTGATCCGGTCAGCTCGCACCACGACCTCGTCGCACCTAGGACCAGTGGCACCACCATGCATACCATTTGCATAATAAGTTTTGGCCGGTCGCCAGATACGGCAGTGTTATTTTAATCCCCTTGTTTCGATGCAGCAGATCTCCACGACCAGATTGTAGACCATTTTGTTTGGAAATCAAATATACACGGGATGATATATATTGTACGGTGTACGGTGTTCCTCCGGTATGCCTGAACATTTGAAACGTGGCGGCTCCAACTGCCTCGCGAATTAATTTGATTTGTCTTTGGACCACATTATTTGGTCCCGTTTTCTAAAGTCCACTCTAATCCAAATAACTGGCGATAAATTACCGGAATTGTCTGTCCCACACGGGCCGTAAAGCGTATTTTTATTGGCGCGCACCTTTTGGTGAAACTGAAACTGTCATTGGACTTCCATGAGGAATGGCGTCACGTGGTGTCGCCCCCCGCACAAGGGCAATCCCCCGACCCGGGCTGGCAACTCGGCTGATCCGTGCCTATGTTTATTTTATCGGAACTTTATAGCTGCCTGGCACGCTTGATTTACCCCGCCCCTCCCTGTTCACTCCCCTCCCCCCTCCCCCACCCCTCCGCACAGGCGTACCCCGCCGTTAGGTGCCGTCTTGTCTCCTCCGCGAACCTCTTTTAATGAGCGTTGTTTTATCACAGCGGGCGCCGGGAAAACCCTTTTCTCTTTTTTTCCCCCTCCTCGATGGGAGTCAATTTTGGGCGGGCGGTGACTTTATATGCTGTTCTGAATAGGTGCGAAGAGTTCAAGCACCCCTCTGTATCTCATAGAAACGACACCAAAGAACGATGATATCACCTCGTGGTGAAAATAGTCTGCTTGGACTTGCCTGTATGCGGCCAATGAACTGCACATGAAGTCAACAGTGTAACACTGCAATTTTATAAATACTCTTTATTCAGCGTTCGTTTTCGTCGTTAGGTTGTTTTTAAAGTTGAAGTGCCTTAGAACGCACAGGCCTCTCACAGTGGCGGCAGTGGTGCAGTGTCGTGTCGGACGAGGCGGGGAGAGCAGTGGGGCCGCGGGGAGAGCAGCGGGAGCAAAGCGATTACCGAACGGAATGCGCCCCGATGATGGCCGCTCTGCTTGCTCGGCTCGGGCTTCACTATTTCGCGACTGTTTTTACGATGGTTTTGCAGCGGCGAAAAATGGGCGCGACGCGTCGGGCGCCTCCCTCACCGCTCCGCGCTGCGACTTCTTCTCCCCGCCCACTGCGCGAGTATTTTCGTCTCTTTCTCTCTCTCTCCTACTCGTAACGGCCGGTCCGACAGCTTTAGCGGCGCTAGGCTGCGCGTCGTGTTTGACGCTTTATTGAGCGGGCGCGGTCTGGGGCGCCAGGCGCCGCCACCTGGCCAGCGGCTGCCAGCGGCAACATTGATGACGGCCGTGATGGCGGCGCCGGGACGCAACCCTGGACTTGAACCGCGGGGAGGGACTGACCTTTAACGTAGTAATGTGGCGGGGTTTACGTTTGGGACAGCCAGCTGGGCCGGGACCGGTGGGAGAGGAAAGGACAGACACAGAAAGGAGAGATGGAGAGCCGGGGGGGGG